ATGCCACAATCCCTTTTCCCCATTCTTCTCCTGGGATTTTGGGCATGCATGCATGTACCTGGTGTGAGTTTTCAAGCCAACAGGTCGGGACTCAAACCATGTGAGAATCTAGTGCCTTAACCACATTATGCCACATGCTGACCCCTTTACTGTTTTGTTTTTAAGTGTATTTATTTTGTTCATAAGAGAACACACATGTATGGCATGCAGAGAGAGAGAACTGAGTGAGGAAAGCCCTCAACAGAGTCTGGTCACACCTCAGTCCCCTTCCCTCAGCCCTCCTCATCAGGATCTGGGTGCCCAGACATGTGCCGACCTGTTTCCAAACCTGCCAGGGTTCCAAGTCATAGCTGGCCACGAGACTTCTTTCCAGCACTGCAGTTCATTTTGCTGCTGGCAGCACCTCCTACGCCGGGCCTCTTATTTCTTCTGGGCAAGAGTTGTGTTTCCTCCTATCTAGGATTTCCTACCGTGGCTGTTTCAGAAGTGTTTGATAATGAACTTTGATCTTTGTCTTCCTCTTCCCTCCACAAAGGAGGATGGTTCGTTTTCCTGATTGCCGAAACTGGAAATTATTGAGGATGTGCGGCGTAGCCCCTGAGGTCCCTGGGGGGATGCCCATCGATATGGAAGGTGCTTTCCACACTCGTCCTGCCCCAGTCCTGGTGCACGGAGCTTAAGCGCACGTGTGTCCATCGTCCTCCGTCCTTCCCTTCCTTCTTGTCCGATCTGTTCCTCTCTTCCCCTCTCTCCTCATCGTTACACCCCAGTGTGTGTTTCATTTATAGCATCCCTCGGCATGGGTAGCCACCTTTCAGGCTTGGAGCCTCACGTGGCTCAGTGTTGAACAAGGTGGGTCAGAGGCACTTCTGGAAATCTCCACTCAGTTTTCCACCACTGCACTGATAACAGTGATTCTGGTTGGGTGTGCCTACGTTAGAGACCCAGATATTTGAAAAAGGTTCTCTACAATATAGATTTGCAGAATGGTTTTAGCCTAATTATAGCTATAGATTTAATCCATGTTCTCCACTCTTCCATAATGACAGTATTTCTCTCTGATTTCTGCTTGTAGCTTTTTCATTGCCAGCGGTCGCATGTGCTTGGCAGAGAGAGATGGGATGGGGGTGAGAAAAGCACCCCCCACAGGGGTGTGGTTATGCCACCGTCTCTCTCTCTCTCTCTTTTTTTTTTTTTTGAAGAGGTTTTTGCTATAGGGTGCGTGCACTCGCCAGACAGAGAGATAGAAAGTGAGAAATCACCCCCCAGGGGGGATGGCCATGCCACAATCCCTTCTCCTTCAGTCTCCTCTCGGGATCTTGGGCACGCATGCACATGTGCCTGGTGTGAGTTTTAAGCCACCAGATCCAGGACGCGAACCACTCAACTACGTGGGAGTCCAGCGACATAGCCATTAGGCTAACTGCTGGTTCCTGCCACCGTCTCTTCATCTCCATTTCTCTGTTCTGTTGAGATCTGGGACATGTGCACATGTGGTCACATGTGGGGTCTGGCTTCCTTAACTACTAGGCTGTGGGACTGGTTTTGTTTTTTATTTTAATCAGTCAAGGTTCAGTTGGAGAAAAAGAAAATATCCTGGCTATTATAAGCACCAGGTGATTTATTTTGTTTTAATGAGAAGTTGGAAGCTTAGAAAATCACCGAAGGGACTGAGACGGCAGGCTTTTGATGTGTTTCTACCAGTAACTCCTAGAGGCACAGTGTAGAGCTTGCTCAGGAAGGGATCCCGGTCTGCCTAGACAGCTGGGAAATGAGCGAGGCCCCAGCACTGTGGCCACCCTGACTCTCTAAGGCACAAGCCTCGAAACAGAAGCTCCTAAGTGACTTTTAACTCCCTTTACCACTGATGCGAAAAAAGCAACCAGAACTAAAAAAAAAGAAAAACGAGCTGAAGTACTTCTTGCCAGTAGCAAATCACAGACATGGCAGATGTATAGCTCCCTCCCCCAGATTTCATGTAGCCTGTATATAAAACTTGAAGAAACTGGGTCATAGGCAGAGCACCAGCCGTAAGGGGGCCCAGGAAATGTGTTTAGCTTCCCCACGTCTAGCCATAGTAACAGCCTGTAAGGGGATCAGATGACAGTGAGTGAGCCAGTCTGTAGCACCTGCCCAGTCCGAAACCCAGGAGGGGGCTGTTTTCTATTGGCACCTTTACCTCAGACAGCTATGTTCTGCATGGTCGCCCTGATCGTCTGGGAGCAATTTTCTACGGCTTTTCCTTTGTTAATGTGCCGTCCATTCCCCCTGTTTTCATAGTTAAATGATACATACTATTCCATTGAGTTGATGGCTTATACATTTCCTAATGTTCAAAAATCCCATAAGAAGCAGTTTTTTTGTTTATTACCTATAGTTGAGAATACACATAGCCTTGAACCACGGCATCCTGGGTAAATTGTGAACACGGTTTAGCACAGTTTAAACATGTTTCCCTTTAGAAGGGAGAATCTCAAATGTACCTCCATTTACGTATCCTCACACTAGTTTCTGTTTTGTCATGCTGCTGTAACATATGACTTGGCAACTTTAGAGAAGTTTTTTTTCTTTTATTTTCATTTTTATGTTGTATTTCCCCCTCTTCCCAACCCCCCCCCCAAGGCCGTGTGTGCTCGCAGGGGTAGGGGGAGACAGAGACAGTCAGAGGAAAAGTGAGAAATTACCCATGGGGGATGGCCATGCCACAATCCCTTCTCCTCCATTTTCCTCCCAGGATCTTGAATGTGCATGCACGTGTGCCCAGTGTGAGTTTCAAGCCACTGGGTCCAGGATTCGAACCACGGTCAGCCACATAGTTCAACTCTGTAACCGCTGTGCTATCTGCTGACCACTTAGCACCTTTAAAACAACATGCTTTTTTTTTTTACTTTTCATTTCCCGGATCTGGCAGGTTTGGCTGGATTTGCTTAGTATCTCACAAGGTCAAAATCAAGTCTGGAGACAGGAGCAAAATCTGTTTCTTTGCTCCTGAGTGTCATTGACAGAATTTGTTTCCATGTGGTTGTAGGACAAGGGGTCGGTGGCTATCTCCTGAGGGCTGTTTTATTTCTCGAGATCGCCCAAATCCCTTGGCTTTGGCCTCTTTACCTTCAAAGCAGTCACATCCTGAAGCTGAGGCCCCTCATGTGGAAGCTCTTTAGTTAGCACATGGAGATTTTCTTTTTTTTTTTTTTTTTGGAGAGATTTTTTTGCTATAGGGTACGTGCGCTCGCCAGACAGACAGAGAGAGAGACAGAGAGACAGAAAGCGAGAAATCAACCCCCAGAGGGGATGGTCACGCCACAATCCCTTCTCCTCCATTCTCCTCTCAGGATCTTGGGCACGCACGCACATGTACCCGGCGTGAGTTTTAAGCCACCGGGTCCAGGACGCAAACCGCGGTCGACTACGTGGGAGTCCAGCGACATAGCCATTACGTTAACTGCTGGTTCCCAGCACATGGAGATTTTGAGTTCTGGCTGCCTGCTTCACAATTGGCAGGAGGTTCCACAACCTTTTAAATACCATTGATCTTCCACTTGTTTGGATGAAAAACAGTGTCTTTTAACATTTAAAGGTGGATGGTCTGAATCTTCTACTTTCACCTGGTTCAGAGTAGCCTTTTTCAAATGAATAATGTATTTATTAATTAATCTAAGTATGACGTACTTAAAAATGGGAACCAGATAGGACCAGCAGATAGTGTAATAGTTATGTCGCTGGATTCCCGTGTAGTTGACCACGATTTGAGTTTCGGACCCAGCAACTAAAAAAAAAACCTCACACTGGATGGAGGAGAAGGGATTGCAGTGTGGTTATCCTCCCAGGGGGTGATTTCTCGATTTCTGTCTCTTTGTCTCTGTCTCTGTCTCTCTCTCTTTGGCAAGTGCATATACCCTATAGCAAAAATCTCTCTTAAAAAAGAAAAATGTGGGACCAGCAGTTAGCGTAATGGCTATGTCGCTGGACTCCCACGTAGTCGACCGCGGTTCGAGTCCCGGACCCGGTGGCTTAAACTCACGCCGGGCGCGTGTGCGTGTGTGCCCAAGATCCCGAGAGGAGAATGGAGGAGAAGGGATTGTGGTGTGGCCATCCCCCCCTGGGGGGTGATTTCCTGCTTTCTATCTCTCTGACTCTCTCTGTCTGTCTGGCGAGCTCACGCGCCCTATAGCAAAAACCTCTCAAAAAAAAAAAAAAGAAAAAAGAAAAATGTGAACTAGGACAAACCAGAAACAAACATGAGTGTGTCATTGTTGGAATATTACATTGGTTAAAAAAAATAAATATCCATTATTTGCTTTGTAGGTATTTACAAAAAGCATTATTTGACCAGTGTGCTATTTTTCCCCCCAAGGTTTTTTTTTTTTAATTAATTGATTTATTTTTACATTTTCCCACATTTACTTTACATATCAAAAAATTTTTGTTCATACTCCATAGTTTTTGACAGTTGATAAACAACTTTCAAAATTTCAAAAAACTGAATTTTAAAGATAACTTTCAAAATATTTGTTATAATTTTGTTTGTGACTATAACAACAGAGACAATATGGTTTTAAATGTTTTTGAGAAAATATTTACATATCAGCTACTCAAACTGTTGCAAAGCAAACACCCAGCACACAATTCACACATAAACCTTCTCAATTGAGCCCTGCCCACCTAGTATTCTGTGATATACCATCTGCTAGCAAAGATCTGTCTCTTTTTCTTCCTTCAAAGTCTTTCTCAAGGTAATCCTCTGGTGGTGGCTGCTCTTCTGCAGTCTGTACTTATTCCAGTGCTGGGCTAGAACCAAGTTTTCTGTTGTCAATGATTTAGGAAGGTCTCCTGTGCTAACAGTGCTTTGTTTTGTTTTGCACTTCTTTTGTTCCTGGTGAGCATGGATTTAAATTGATCTGTCTTCCAATCTCACGGCTCATCAGCAGTCGCATCATCACTCTTTGCTCTGTTCTGATGACAATGTACATATTTGCTCTCGCCTTTTTTTTTAATCACAGGAAGAAGTAAGTGTTCCAGGCGACAGTTCCCCTGACCTGTTGCAGTGGACGACTGCCACCACCATGAAGGTGCTGTCCAACACCACCACCACCACCAGGGCTGTACTGCAGGCTGTCAGTGATGGGCAGTGGTGGAGGAAGTCTTTAACGTACCTTCGACCCCTGCAAGTAAGCACTGCAGCTTTCTCTTTGAAATCAGTTGTGAGGTTCCTGTCCAGTCATTAGTGCTGCTCTTCAATTCTCACTGTTACAGCTTTATCTTTTCTTGGTTATTAAAATAATCTTTTAAGAAATCTAGGTCTCTTTGGACCAGCATGTGGCATGGTGACTAAAGGCAGTGGATTCTATGGCTGACCACGGTTCGAATCCCAGACCTGGTGGCTTGCTTTCTCACTTTCTCTCTCTCTCTGGTGAATGTACATCCCCTGTAGCAAATTAATAAATATTAATAATAGATAAAATTAAATAAATAATTCTTTAAGGGAACAAAAAGAAAAAAGAAACCTAGGTCTCCCATCTGATAGGGGATGACTACTCTGATTCATGGACGGTATCTCCTCCCATGGAATACATGCAAAGGGCACCGATACGGAGTTAGGTAAGGTTTCGTTTACGTATTAGAATGGAATGGAAACATATAGGAAATGGAATGAGATGAAAAGGAAAATCATTTTATCTGTTCTTATTTGCTCTTGGTATATTTCTATAGGCCAGTACTGAGATAGAGTGTTAGCAGCCAGCTTGGCAGCTCCAAGGAAAGAGAAGAGTTTACCGGATCCTCAATTCCAATCTGGAAGTAGAGGTCAGGGCAAACTATAAACCTTTGACATTCCTTGCAGGGACATCGGACCTGTCATCTCCCTGCTGTCTTCTCTGCAATCTCATCCTGCAGTCCTTTAGGCTCACACTGGAAAGCAGAGGGAAAGGAAACACAAACACCTGTTATCAGTTCACCCCAGACGTTCACTGAGTATCTTATTTATTCATCCACTTAGCAAATGCTCCAAGATGTTTTCAGTGTGTCAAATACTGTGCTAATCCCCGGGAACAGAGTGGGGAAACACTTCATTCTGATTTCCTTCCCCTGTGGAACTTCTATGTCAATTGTGGAGTTAAAGAAACTAAAAACTAAAGTATTTATCTGTCAAAGCCATGGCAGATGGTAGTGAGTGCTCTGAACATAACTAAACAAGGAGTGTTACTGGGGGAGTAAAATCCTGATTTAGATAGAGAAGTTAGGGTTCTCACAAAAGATATCCCTTTGAAGAGAAAAATGGTGAAGCCAAGCAGCTCAAGGGCAAAGCCCTGTGGGGATCATGCTTGACCTTTTTGGAGAACATAAGGGAAGCCAGTGGGGTTGGAGCAGTGTAAACAATGGGGGAATTGAAGGAGATATGGTCAGGGAGGTAGAGGGGCAATCATTTAAAGCCTTATGTAGTCCACAGTAATGACTGTAGAGTTTGTAAGATGGAACACTTTTGGAGAATTTAGGCCATGCAGTTGTGTGACTCAGCTTTACTCTTCCTAAGATCACTCTCCCTACGGAGAGCTGGCCGTAGGGAGTCAGGAGCAGAAGCAAGGAGGCAGGGAAGTCTCTGGCCCAGCACCCCAGGTGAAAGATGATGGTGGTTTGGACTAGGTCTCTTTGGACCAGCATGTGGCATGGTGACTAAAGGCAGTGGATTCTATGGCTGACCACGGTTCGAATCCCAGACCTGGTGGCTTGCTTTCTCACTTTCTCTCTCTCTCTGGTGAATGTACATCCCCTGTAGCAAATTAATAAATATTAATAATAGATAAAATTAAATAAATAATTCTTTAAGGGAACAAAAAGAAAAAAGAAACCTAGGTCTCCCATCTGATAGGGGATGACTACTCTGATTCATGGACGGTATCTCCTCCCATGGAATACATGCAAAGGGCACCGATACGGAGTTAGGTAAGGTTTCGTTTACGTATTAGAATGGAATGGAAACATATAGGAAATGGAATGAGATGAAAAGGAAAATCATTTTATCTGTTCTTATTTGCTCTTGGTATATTTCTATAGGCCAGTACTGAGATAGAGTGTTAGCAGCCAGCTTGGCAGCTCCAAGGAAAGAGAAGAGTTTACCGGATCCTCAATTCCAATCTGGAAGTAGAGGTCAGGGCAAACTATAAACCTTTGACATTCCTTGCAGGGACATCGGACCTGTCATCTCCCTGCTGTCTTCTCTGCAATCTCATCCTGCAGTCCTTTAGGCTCACACTGGAAAGCAGAGGGAAAGGAAACACAAACACCTGTTATCAGTTCACCCCAGACGTTCACTGAGTATCTTATTTATTCATCCACTTAGCAAATGCTCCAAGATGTTTTCAGTGTGTCAAATACTGTGCTAATCCCCGGGAACAGAGTGGGGAAACACTTCATTCTGATTTCCTTCCCCTGTGGAACTTCTATGTCAATTGTGGAGTTAAAGAAACTAAAAACTAAAGTATTTATCTGTCAAAGCCATGGCAGATGGTAGTGAGTGCTCTGAACATAACTAAACAAGGAGTGTTACTGGGGGAGTAAAATCCTGATTTAGATAGAGAAGTTAGGGTTCTCACAAAAGATATCCCTTTGAAGAGAAAAATGGTGAAGCCAAGCAGCTCAAGGGCAAAGCCCTGTGGGGATCATGCTTGACCTTTTTGGAGAACATAAGGGAAGCCAGTGGGGTTGGAGCAGTGTAAACAATGGGGGAATTGAAGGAGATATGGTCAGGGAGGTAGAGGGGCAATCATTTAAAGCCTTATGTAGTCCACAGTAATGACTGTAGAGTTTGTAAGATGGAACACTTTTGGAGAATTTAGGCCATGCAGTTGTGTGACTCAGCTTTACTCTTCCTAAGATCACTCTCCCTACGGAGAGCTGGCCGTAGGGAGTCAGGAGCAGAAGCAAGGAGGCAGGGAAGTCTCTGGCCCAGCACCCCAGGTGAAAGATGATGGTGGTTTGGACTAGGGTGGCTGTTCAGGAAGTGGAAGTGCTTGGTGGGGGGCTGTACTTCGTAGTATGGATTTGGCTTGTGCAGAAGAGAGGAGACCCAAAGATGGTGGCACCAACTGTTAGAAAGATGAAGATACCATTTACTGAGATGCCGAGTACCTGGCTTTGGGGGAAATCAGTGTGTCTCACATCCCCATAGGAATCACACTGGATTATGGTTACTTTTCTGTCTTACCTATTAGGTTTTTCCCTTTACTTTTTTTTTTTTTCTTAATTTTTGCCAGAGGACACATACACTTGCTGGAGAGAGACTGAGAGAAAGCATCCTCCTTCGGATAGTCATGCTATATTTCCTTCTCCTCCATTTCTTCCTTCTTCTGGGATTTTGGACATGCATACGTGACCCAGAGTGTTCCTCAAGCTGCTGGGTCTGGGACTTGAATCATACAGTCAACCATGTGGGGTCGAACTGCCTTGCCCACCGTGCTCCAACTCGCTCAGGTTTTTCAGGTTTTGGAAGGGTTATGTCTTAACTAAAGTCGTTTTTACTGCACATTGCTGTCATTGTGATCGTCCTTCACAGCAGCAGCTTCATTGTCTCCCTAGACTACGCTGCATAAAGTAGCGCACAGCAAGCTGGGGTTGGGGAGTGGGGATGTCCTTTACCTTTACCTGGCTTTTCCAGTGAAGAGCTTGACAATCTGTTTGAGGAGAGCAGAACGTAAAGGTGATGGAACTATACAGGGCTAGAAAAGTGCTTGATGATCAGGGGTGCTGGTAAGTCTGGGCGGTGTGCGCACGGGTGGTATGTGAAGGAGCTGGGAATTATGGCGGGCACAGTCATGGCAGCCGCCTCCTCTGCGGTCAGATTTCAGCAGGCGGGGTCTGATCTGAGGAGGCTGTCAGCATGAATGGGACTCTCTGAGAGCTAGAAAGGCAGAGGCCTGCAGAGTGCCCAGAGCAGGTCAGTTTGGTTGGAGTAGAGAGTTGTATTTAACGTTAATTAATACTGAATAACCTTCATGTTCTTCTGTGTAGCTTAGATTGTATGCCGTCGTCTGTTTGCTTTGTCCAGAGATGCTGAAGGTTTTCTGAGCAAGGCAGCGACACTTACTAATGGTGTTTTAGGATGGTTTTTCCCACTGTAGTATAAAAAGCTCACCACGTGTTATGAAACTGATTGCTTCAGTCTTCCTGATTCATTGATGTCAAAGTGACCAGGAAGATCAAAAGGCACTGCAGGGTGCTCTGTGAATGTAGTCAGTCTGTCGCTCTCTGCTGGGTATCTGTGTCACTCTGACACACTCTGTTTAGGTCTCAGAAAACACAGTGATGAGTTTCTTCTCAAGTCAGCCTTTTCCACCTTCCTCTCTTCTTTACACCCACCAACTCCACCATGCATACACACACTCGCTCTCTTTTTTTTTTATCCACTGTTTTCCACTTTGTTCTCTTTAGGGGCAAGAATTTGGTGGTGCTTATCGAATCGGACCCATAGCCAATGAAAATCTAGAACAACAAGGATGTCATACTTTTTACGAATCTGTCATCTCTAATCCCTTTGTCGCTGAGGTAAGGACAGTATGTCTAAGAAGATAGATTAAACTCTCATGCTATCGTAGTATAGACAAAATTGAAATTTTTCTGGAAACCCTCTTTGGCTTGGCTCTTATTCATGCTATTCTTTGGTTTTAAGTCATTTGTTTCATATACATTATGACATATGAGATTGAAATCTATTTAAAATATTGCATAAAGTAATATGCTTTAGTAAGTGAGATATTATTATTCATGTCACTAGAAGACATAAAGTCCTGTGACTGTGTTTTCTAAGAGTATGTTCACAGAAAAATGACACCATCATGAAATGGTGAAAATGCTTCTTTCGTTTAGTCTGAAGTGACGTATGACACCTGCCGGGACATCTCAGTAGAAAGCTTTGCAGAGGTGTTGCTGAGGACTGGAAAACTGGCAGAGGCCAAAACGGAAGGAGAAGTGTTTCCAACAACAGAAGGTAAGAAAGAAGATTCTAGTTTCTTGACAGTGTGTAACTCATATTAGAACAGTAACCAAGAATGTGTGAATGAAAGAGAGGAAAAAAATACCAAATTTTTCAGTAATTTTGAATCACATACCCTGATACCTCATTCATCCATTCATTCATAGCATTTATTGAGAACTTGATGTCTCCTAGTTAAGTATATTGAGGATTTAAAAGGACGAATAACATGTAAATAAACTGTAAAGTGCTTCTCATAGAGAATGCTATAAAATGCTCAGTAAGTCTTTCTTTTCTGCTTTTATGCTTCATAGAATGTAGGTGTATATTTGATCTTAAAAATTTTCTGTTCAGTGGCATATCGTTCCATCTAGAATTTTTTGCAGAGATAAACACATGCAAGTCCAAAGACAGCTTGCCATTTGCTCTTTTATTTTGCCTCCTTACTTCTTTGTAAGGTTGTAGGGTAGTTTTGTGACTGCGTTCTTTCAGTTACCATGCTCTGCCTTCATCCTTACTGAATATGTCATGACTCAAAGACTGCTGAGGCTCTAGCTGTCGGTCTGTATTCCAGGCGTCAGTGAGGAGAAGTGGGGAGGGCAGGACACTTGTCTTGGAAGTCTTATCCATAGTTTCTACTTAAAAATCACAGCTAGCTCAAACTGCCAATAAGCCTGGACAGTTCCATGTTTACTGAGAGCATTGCCTTGTGGAGCAGAATTAAAGAATTCTTACTTTTGTGAAATAAAACCACTATTTCTCCCAAAATCTAGGTTGTAATTTATTTTTAGATAATTATTTTTAAATTGTCAGAGGTCGTGTGTGCATGTTAGAGAACTAGAGAGAGACCGACAAAGGAAGAAGGAGAAAGCACTCCCCTCCATGGGGCGTGGTCATGCCCCAATTCCTTCCCCTTCATTTCTCCATCCTGTTAGGATTTGGGACACCCACACAAACTCTTGGTGTGCTTGTCAAGCCTCCAGGGCCAGGATTTGAACGATGGTTGTCCATGTGGGATCTGATTTCTTTAACCACCTGGGTATGGAGCTGACCTGATAATTTGTTTTAAGACAGAATCTTATTATTTATTTATGTTCAGGGTTTTTTTAAATCCATGAAAGACAGATAACCCCAAGAGGGTCTTCACGCTGCAGTCCACCCGCCTCAGGCAGCATGGATCTTGGGCATGTGAGCACGTGCCTGGTGTGTGCAGAAAAAATGCAGAATGAACCTGGGAGCTCACCTCGTGGCTTCAGCATGGCAGAGTTGTGTCATCACTGTATGAATGGGCTGGCACCTGACAAGTTTTTTCAGTCAGTGTTTTTATACATTTGGTAAGAGGAGAGATGTTTTTTAAGCTGCTGGGTGCAGAACTCGTACTGTGGAGTCAGTCATGTGGGATCTAGCACCTTTAGCCATTAGACTACGGGGCCAGTTTCATCATATGTATTTCTAGCATTTCGAGCAGAGCTGTGAGGATTTTCTATATGGTAGGTGCAAAATAAATGTCTTCTCACAATGGTGAGATAAGTACAATGTGCAGGTCGTGGTCATTGGGACAGTGAGTTGAGCATGTGCTCGTGGGTCATCTGTATCCAAGTATGTGCACTATTCTTCGTAGTGCATGTTGGATTTTAGAGGTGGTGTCTGCCCTGGTGTTTCTTTAATTGATCTTTGCTGACACTGAGTTTTTTTTTGTTTGTTTTTTGTTTTTTGTTTTTTTGTTTTTTTTTTTGAGAGGTTTTTGCTATGGGGCATGTACGCTCACCAGAAAGAGAGAGAGCGAGCGAGAGAGAGAGACAGAAAATGAGAAATCACCCCCAGGGGGGGATGGCCACGCCGCAATCCCTTCTCCTCCATTCTCCTCTTGAGATCTTGGACACGCACGCACACACACATGCCCAGTGTGAGTTTAAGCCACTGGGTCCGGAACTTGAACCATGGTTGACTACATGGGAGTTCAGAAACAAAGCCATTATGCCAACTGCTGGTCCTGACACTCAGATTTTAATGTTCCACCAGGGGAAAGAACTTAAGTCTATTAAAGAATTAAAAAAAATATTTTCAAACATGATTGAATTGAATGGGAAAAACATTTTGGAGCATCTATGTATATACTGTAATATATTGTGTATATTAAATATAGAAGTAATTTTAATAATTCATTATATTTGCATGTAGCTTTATAATTTATGAAGCATTTTTCTATATATTATCACATTTAGATCTTTTGATAATGCTGATATACATGGAACTGATCTCTTTGGCTGTTTTATATCAAATATGTTAGAAAATCAGCAGAATTGAAGAGTGATAGATGTTAAATGACCCAAATTAAAAGTTATGGTAAAAATGTGATTCCTGACATTGGTTCAGAAGTAGGTCATAGTACATATTAAACTTCTCAATATGATCTGGTTCTTTAGACGTTTTTTTAATAAAGTTGATGAAAGGTTTTTATGAAGACTAGCTGAGAAAAATTGATCATTATTTATTTAACTAAATGAATGATTTAATAGCTAATGATTTCCAAATCAATAATATAGGCAACTATTCTCTGTGAATTTAATTCTGGAATTAGATTTTTCATAGAGTACTTTCTAGAGGCACTTATTTTACACAAAATTAGTGCTTGGAGGCTTTGTCATAGATTTCATCTGATTTTTGCTATGGGACTTGTTTAGAAAATATATTGTATTTAAGCTTTGAGTACTACCATTGCAAATTCAATTCATTAAAAAAGCAATCTAAATGGTAACGTGAAGCCCCTGCATTTCATCACTAGCCATTATGACATGTTGGGGATCCCAGTGTAACACCATGAACAGTCTACACACCATCCTCTAGAAATTTTGTTAGATATTGCTTCAGATGGTTTGCAGATTCCAAGGCTGAGGAGTTTTCTGTGCATAGGGATGTGATTTCCACTTTGGAAGAATCCTTGAGTCGCATTGAAAGCTGACAAGCATGTTATGATGCCCAGGAGTGGAGTGGAGTGTGTCGTCCTCCCTCCCACTCTCCCGCGTCAGTTTCCTTTGATAGTTCATTCGTTTATTAGCAGGGGCCTTGGATTGTAGAGATTAGGGACCTGTTATCCTGTGTGGGGAAAAAAAAAAGATGTCATGAGATAATTCAACAACTATGGCATTAGGGATCAGGGAAAAGATCCCTTTCCTTTGCCCCTGGGTTCATAGGGAAGGTGGCGTTCTTGATATCTGTGATCAATTCTTCAAGTCTCAGCATAGCAGGAAGGTCATGGGCTTTGTGTGGCCAGAAGCTCAGCTGTGCCGAGACCAGGCACGCAGAATTTGTCCAGACATACCCTCCAGGAAACCCCCCTTGGGCCAGAAGTAAATGACAGAGATCTTGAGTATTTGACACAGAGGATTATCTTTGTCTTTTCTTTCCCTGTTTTATTAAGAAAATTTCAAATGTGCAGAAAGTTGAAAAAGAAATTGTATAGTTCATTTCTATCTGTCCTCTATCTAGATTCCACAGTGAACATTTTGCCGTATTATCTTTTATTATTATTATTTATTATCTACACTCTTCCCCTCTCACACTCTCTTTCCACTTTGTCTCTAGTGTCTATTACAATTTTTAGTACTTTTATGTTCTGCAGTCTTTCAGTCTCTACCATAGAGTACAGATAGTTGGTATATGTTGAGTGGAGACATGCAGTGTCTCTCTTTCATAACCCGACTTGCTTCATTCAGCAACAAATCTTCCATTTTTGTCCACTCTCTATCAAATTCCAGGGCCTTGTTGTTTTTTTATGGCTGAATAGTATTTCATCGAGTATATGTGCCACAATTTTACAACCCATTCATCTGTTCGTGGACATTTGGGTTGATTCTACATCATAGCAATCATGAATAATGCTGCAATTAATATAGATGTGCAAGCGCTTTTCCGACTGAGTGCTCTTCTGTCCTTTGGGTAGATACCCAGGAGTGGAATTGCTGGGTCATATGGTAGTTCTATTTGAAGGTCTTTGAGGAACCTCCATATCATTCTCCACAGTGGCTGAACCAATTTACATCCCCACCAACAGTGTAGGAGTGTTCCTCTTTCACCACATCCCTCCAGCACTTATCATTATTTGTTTTTTTAATCTTCACCGTTTTGACTGGGGTTAGGTGGTATCTCCTCGTGGTTTTGATCTGCATCTCCCTTACAATGAGGGATGTTGAGCATTTCTTCATATGTTTTTTGGCTGTTCATATGTCTTCCTTATAGAGTTGTTTATTCAGCTCATTTTCCCATCTTTTAATTGGGTTAATAATTTTTTTCCGGGTAAGCTATTTGAGTTCCCTGTGTATTCTGGTTATTAGTCCCTTATCTGAGGTACAGTTAACAAAAATTCTCTCCCATTCCAAGGACTTAAAAATCACACCAGGTATTTGTGAGTGAGTGCACAAAATCCTATGAGGAGAATGGAGGAGAAGGGATTGTTGCATGGCCATCTCACCTGAGGAACATTTTCTCACTTTTCCTCTCACTGGCAAGTGCTGGATGGCAAAAAAACTTAAAAACAAAAAACAAACAAACAAAAAAAGTAGTTGAGCTCTTGAGGGGAGAAAATGTAAAGTGAGATTGAGATAGTAATGAAGTAACTGAATACCCACCATCGAGGAATCAAAGAGGAGGGAGAGGATCTTGAAACGGTCATGTGCACATGTGTAGGAGAATGATTTGAGGAACAGATGCAGGAAACAAAGTGTCTTGAAGCCAAAGGAAGGACCATCTAGTAGAACCTATTGCTAATGTAATATATGAGAGAAAAGCCATTGAGTTTGGTGACTTGGGAGGTGATGTCAGTTGGGACACAGGAATGGCAGACTCGAGGAAAGAATGAGTGTCAGGTGGTAGGATGCTGTGGGGTGGACGACTTGCTCATGTAAGAAGCTTTTCATTGGAAAGAAAGGGGGGCCCTTGACTGCTGTCAAGGGAGAGATTTCTTTC